ACCTAATTTGCTCTGACCACTTTAAATTTATTCCATTTTTCTCACATGATCCCTTCAGTTGAGAATTAAAACTTCATGGCCTTTGTCGTCGGGCTTTCAAATTGTTATTTCTTCGTGATGTTTTAATGTGGAGAACGCAGCGATGTGTTCTTTAGTCAGATGCGTCATTTGTGTTACAGGCGCATTACAGTATTGGTGAACAATGTTCGCAGAGTTTGCTTTAAGCCACCCCACGCCGTCAGTGGATCTAGGTTTTAGGTCAGTTAGCTGAGAGTTCCAATCTTCAAACTGTGCCTCACTTTCAACTGGGTTTCTGCTTCTTTTTGGAACATGGGAGGCTTCTTTAATTTAAAGCAGCGTTATTCCCTTCTCCTCCATTGTATGATGCATGCAGGTTTCACGAATATTAATCAGCGAAAGGAAACTGATCTTGTCTAGAACATGCTTTGCCTGATCAAGGTGAGTTTTGCTGGTGCAGACAGCCACCACTGAGTCTCACATTCTCGATTGCATTAGACGGTCCAGATTTCTTATTGTTGGACGTAATTTTCCTCGACGAATAACCAGCGGGTAGTATATTCTAGTAATACATTCCTATAACGGGTGGATCTGGCGAAGTAAAGAGAGACCGGGCTGGCCATTTCTGGCTTTTTAGCCATCATCAGCCAGTCATACCCAATCTCAAGGATTGGAACCCCCGATATTTGAACCCGGGATATTTGGTCAGGGAGTTTAACACCCTACCCTTGCACCACGGGCTCTTTGCTTTGTCGGTCGAAATCGGGAATGTTAGAACTTGGGTGTTCATCCGATCTATCTGATTTTGGGCCTATACTTGTCCCGGTGCGCCTTGAGACTCGTACTTGGGCGATTTCAGACTGTCGAGTGGATCTGACATAGCAATAGCTGGCATGCATGCTCTTTGCAGCAAGCATAGCAGATGCGAATATAAGCTTACGCGCGTCCTACACTTTATCTGGGCTGATTTGTAAGACACTCGGGCGACCCTTCACCTCCGGTTGGTAAGTACGACTGTTCATGAGATAGATGACGAACGGAATACACAACAGTTTGAATTTGCACAGAATCCATACATAAAGGTAAGTTCATTGTTCACGCTACGAATAGTCAATAATAATGTTTTCTTGAGATAGAGGTAGAAAAAGAAAGGAAGAAAATAAACAAAAATCAGAGGTTGATTAAATATCGACCTGCATATTTGTTTTTGGCCAGCCAGCCAGCATCTTCGTTTAAGTCATCTTCGTTCACCCCTCTCCGTCTACTTTTTTGACAGTCGGACCGTCCGAATCGGATGCAAATCGCGTATTTACCTCTCCTCAGTGCGTGGTGGTGGCGTGGAGTTGGTGAGCTTCGACATGCGCCACAACCATCTTGTCTCTGTGCAGACGGCTCGCCTCTACTGTCAGAATCGGCGACTACCTCCCGAGGCCCTGCAGGAAGCCGCCGGTCTTATTGCCAAAAATATTGGTAATTTCGCCCTCTGGCGGTATCTCCGAGGTAGGCGTTGTTGTAAATTAATACACCATGGCCTAGAAAAAGAAGGAAGCGATCACTGGAACAAGAGTTTTATTTTCCTGATGTTTCGCATACCGTCAGGAATCCTTAATCGTAGGATATGCTGAAACATGCGCAGATAGGGGTCACACGGACAAGGAAATCGCGACAATGAATGAGTCGAACGCAAACGTCAAGCCATCACCACACCAATTAAGACCCCAAACGGTGGCTACAGGAGCTGATAATTATAGTACGCATGTGGATGGCCGCTACAAACTATAAATACCGTGCAATCTGTGCAGGCATCACATTTATCTGCGCATGTCTCAGACTATCCTATGATAACCTACGATTAAGGATTCTCGACAGAATCTGAAACGTCAGGAAACGAAAACTCTTGTTCCGGTGGTCTCATCTTCTGCTTCTGAACTGCTTCCTGGAACTTGCATATTGACTTCTATTGGCAACAACATGGTCTAGTAAACAGTCTTCTATGGACTTCAATCAAATAAGTTTGAGTATGCCTGTCTTAACTCACTTTTCAGGGTTCTAAAGTAAGCTCAACGTGGGAACGGAGGGAATGTTTATTACCCATACTAATGACTACCAAATTTGACAGAATACGTGCGTGAATGTTTTGTGTACTGGAAGTGCGTTTGCAGATCCATTTAGGCATAAACCGTGGCATCATCCAGCCATAGGCAACCTCAAGTCTGGCAAATCTTCGGCTTCTTGATTATGATAAAGCTTTAAAATTCAGAAATTGTCATCCCCGTCTGCCTTGCTTTTGTCTGTAATGTTATGTCGTCCACAGGATAAACCTTTCTATATTCCAGTTATAACTGTTTCTTTAACTAACTGTGGTGTGCCTATACATATACAAACACACCTCCCACGTTTCTGTACGTCCTGGTTTTTTTACGTCCTTGACGGAAGGTTTCTCCAATTTAAAAAAA